AGAACTTACACTTCTAGCGGGGGCTGGTGTCGGGGATCCACGAAGTCTTGCCAGCATCGCGACAGACGAGACAGACGAGATATCCCATGGCGCGCCCCGGGCGACTCAGCGGACGGCACACGCGCCAAAACCGTCCGAGCCTGCCGCACGGCTGCGGACAAGCTCGAAGCCTCGCGGCAAGGTTTCGAACTTGAGCCAAAATGGCTACGGAGTGCGAGCGGGTCTGGGTCTGAGCGAGTCTGAGGGTGGCTGAGTCCAAGATTGAGAGTGATGAGTACCACTCTGAGTATGAGTGAGCCTGGGTGCGAGGTAGTTTGAGTATGGATGAGTCTGCGGGTGGATGAACCTGAGTGCGAGTGAGTCCGGATGCGTTGGTCGGGGTGTGAGTGAGTCTGAGTGTGAGAAAATCTGAGTATGAGCGAGTAAGTACGGGTGAGTCTGAACATGATTTAATATGAAACCTGGGTATGAGTGAATCTGAATGTGATGAGCGAGCCTGAGTGAAGAAAAGGTGCTCGTGAGACATCCTCACAATCTGCTCAAACCGCATGAGACACCCCCACATTATGAGCGCGAGCCCTGGAATGTCCCCCACCCCTGGCAGCTACCCCTTGGGAGTGCTGAAACCAGCGCCTCGCCTGAGACATCCTCACAATCTTCGCCGAGAGCAGAGCATGTTGGGGGGCAGAAACAAGCAAACTGCATGAGACACCCCCACAATCTGAGCGCGAGCCCTGGAGTGTCCCCCACCCCTGGCGGCTACCCACCCAAATGCAACGCCTGCCATATCGCGGCGAGCAGTGGACCACCAGAAAAATCTGAGCGAGTCTGAATGAGGAAGAGTGTGTTGGAGTGTTAGAGTCTGCATGTGTATGAGTAAGAATGCGTCTCAAGCGGATTCCCTGAGTGGGCCTGAATGAATATAAATGAATCTAAATCTGAGTGGACCGAAATAAAAAACAAAGTGATGCGGCTGAGTCTGCGTGAGGAACCAGCGCCCCGCCTGAGGCATCCTCACAACCTGCTCTGAACGCAGACGACTCCGCCCGCCAACAAAAAAGCAAACCGCCCGAGACATCCCCACAACCTGGGAGCGAACGGGCCCGTGATATACCCCCTGGCGGCCCCCCCTTGGGGTGCTGAAACCATCGCCCCGCCTGAGACATCCTCACAACCAGCTCTGAACGCAGACGAGTCTGCTCGCCAAAAGAAGGCAAACCGCCCGAGACATCCCCACAACCTGGGAGCGAACGGGGGAGTGAGATAACCCCTGGTGGCCCCCCCTTGGGGTGCTGAGACCAGCGCCTCGCCTGAGACATCCTCACAATCTGCTCTGAACGCAAACGAATCTGCCCACCAAAACAAGCAAACCGCCTGGGACCTCCCCACAACCTGGGAGCGAACGGGCCCGTGATATACCCCCTGGCGGCCCCCCCTTGTGGTGCTGGAACCAGCGCCCCGCATGAGACATCCGCCTGAGACATCCTCACAATCTGCTCTGAACGCAGACGCGTCTGCTCACCAAAACAAGCAAACCGCCTGGGAAGGGGGGATGAGATACCCCCTGGCGCCTTCCCCCTTGGAGTGCTGAAACCAGCGCCCCGCATGAGACATTCTCACAATCTGCTTTGAACGCAGACGAATCTGGCTACCAAAACAAGCAAACTGTCTGAGACATCCCCACAGCCTGGGAGCGAACGGTGGAATGGTATACCCCCTGGCAGCTCCCCCTTGGGAGTGCTGAAACCATAGCCTCGCCGGAGACATCCTCGTTCCCCCAGCGCGAACGAGGGTCTGAGTGCGAGTGAGCCTGAGTGCGAGTGAGTGTGAGTGAGTCTGAGTATGAGTGAGTCTGGGTATGAGTGCTTCTGAGTCTGAGTGTGAGTGAGTCTGAGCGTGAGTGAGTCTGAGTATGAGTGAGTCTGAGTATGAGTGAGTCTGAGTATGAGTGAGTCTGAATGTGAGGGAGGAAGAGGAAGAGGGGAGTGAGAAGCGTGGGGAGTCGGCGCGCTCTGAGTGATAAGAAGAAGACCTTCGTAGGATATCGGGAAGTAAGAACGCACCGTCGAAAACCAGACCTGGAACCAGAAGTGGGCGGGGGAGCTGGCCGCACACGGCGGTCCGAGCAGTCCCGCTAGGCAGCGAGCCCAAATAACAAGATGCCGGAGACGGGAGAAGAAGCCGAGAATGCCAGCACTATTCCCTCTTCATGTTCCTCAGCCGCTCCCCGCCAAAATGCCCGACTCGGAAAACCAAGGCAGCGACGACGACGGTGCGACTGTGTCGGCGGCAGCGGCGAAAGCGCTGGCAGCCGCGGCGACAGCGAGGGCCGCGATCGCGAGCGCGAGGGGACCCTCAGCGAGAGTTCTCCTACTGGAGCCACCTGCACACCCCTCTCTGGGAGTGGTGCAGAGACAATGGGAAGAAGTCCTATGCGCGCCACGGAAGCGGGTGCGCAAAGCCAGAGGGCACTTATTCGTCTCAGGCCAAGCCTGGCCACCCCAGGAGTCGACTACAATAATGGTGATGATGGTGCTGATGATGATGGTGCTGGTGGTGGTAGTGGTGATGATGATGACGTCGACGACGATGATGATGATTGGATGATGATGATGATGAGGAGGAGGAGGATGATGATGAGGATGATGGTGATGATGGTGATGGTGATGGTCATGGTGATGGTGATGGTAATGATGCTGATGATGATGATGCTGATGATGATGATGCTGATGATGATGATGATGACGACGACGACGACAACGACGACGACTGCCCTTGTCGAGTATACACCCACCCTACCTTTGCTGGTGTTCTGGCGCACCTCTCCCTCCCAGGGGCAGGAAGCGCTTCCTGGATGGCCTGGCTCAACAAAAAAATCTGCGTGGGAGGCCGCTGAATTGCCGCAGCGCTCCGAAAGCTTTATGTGTCGCCGCGCCGTTTGTCCTAAACGCGCCCAAACAGACGAAGCCGTCACCACGGCAAACTCACGACAAACCGTACGTCCAAGGCGAAGCTTGCCCAGGTGCCCGCGGCGTCCTCTGAAAGACGAAAGGCCGCGCGTCGGAACAAACGGCGCGCCGACATGTGGTGAGGGGCAACGATCGTACTGTACAGAGCGCGACACTGCGAAGGCGATTCGCAAATCGTGCGTGTCGACTGCGGCCAATGCTGGCGAAAGGCGCTGTGCCCGCAGCTTGTATCACTTATAATGCAAAGAAAGCGTTCGCGCCCAGCCGGCATGCAACAACCATACCGAACAGGATGCGGAGTTGGAAACAGTGTTTCTAACAGTTGCGGTAGCAAGGTAACGAGAGATCGGAGGGGAAGCAGAAGTGTAAGAAAGAGACGGCGGCGGGGACGAAGGACCACCGCCATCACCATCATGATATGATCCTCCTCGTCAGCATCATCATCATCATCATCATCATCATCATCATCATCATCATCACCATCATCAGCATCATCACAATCATCATCATCATCAACATCACCATCATCATCATCATCATCATCCTCGTCGCCGTCGTCATCAGAATCACCATCATCACCATCAGCATCCTCACCATCATAATCGTCCACATCATCATCCTAGCCCTCCTTCTCCTCGTCATCATCATCATCAGCAACATCATCATCAGCAGCATCATCATCACCATCATCCTCATCATCATCATCAGCATCGTCAAACATCATCGTACGTGCCATCGCCATAAACCACATCAACATCAGCAGAAGCATCACCATCATCACCCTCGTCCTCGTCATCATCATCATCAGCAGCATCCTCCTCTTCCTCATCATCATCATCGTCATCGACAACATCATCCCCACCACCACCACCAGCATCATCATCATCAGCATCAGCATCAGCATCAGCATCATCCTCATCATCTTCATCATCGTCATCATCAGCATCACCAGCATCATCATCGTCAGCATCACCACCAGTATCATCATCATAATCAGCATCATCCCCAACCTGATCATAGTCCTCATTCTCCTCATCGTCATTCTCATTAACAACATCGTCAACATCGTCAAGCATCATCGTACTCGTCATCGCCATCTACAACATCAACATCACCAGCATCGTCATCATCATAATCGTCATCATTATCATCATCATCACCATCATCATCATCATCATCATCATCATCATCATCATCATGGTCATCCTCATCATCGTCCTCATCGTCCTCATTATCCTCATCGTCATCCTCATCAACACCATCATCAGCATTGTCAAGCACAACAACCTCACCATCAACAACGTCAACAACATCACCACCATCACCACCACCACCATCATCATCGTCATCATCATGATCATCATCAACATCATCATCAGCATCATCATCATCATGGTCAACAGCACCATCAGCACTATCACCATGACCACTATCATTGCCACCACCACCACTATCATCATCACCATCACCACAGGCGCTCGTCTCCTGACCGCGGGACAGTGCCCGCGTTGCCCGCTCTGCCCTGCCACTGGGCCATCGCAGACTCTCCGAGGCAGGATCAGCCAGCACCAAATTGGAAAATCAGATCGAATCGAAATCTGCGTCGGATCGAACCGAATCGGATCCATCTCATCTTTCTAATTTTCTCTCTTTCTCTCTTTTTCTCACTCTCTCTCTCTCTTTCTCTCTCTCTCTCTCTCTCCCTCTCTCTCTCTCTCTCTCTCTCTGTCTCTCTCCATGATATATATATATATATATATATATGTATCCCTCTCTCTCTCTCTCCGTCTCTCTTTCTGTGTTCCTTTCCCTACCTCTGCCGCTGGGCTTCGCATGGATAATACAACAAGTGCGTCGGTTCGGGTTGCGCCGGCTCGAAATCGAAATGGAATCGGATCGGCCGCGCCGGGATTCCCAACGGCAATGGTGCAAGCATGGGGCCGTATCGGGTCGGCGGGAACCCGAAATCGAATCGGATCGAGCCTGGCAAACTCGGCATGAAACCGGATCGATCGAAAGCAGCTCGCGTTTAGACGACCAGGAGGGGGAGGTGGTGGGGGGAGGCAACAAGGAGGACGAGGAGAACTCCTTTCCTCCATGCTGAACGAAAAATGCTGACGCTGGGGAAGCCAACCGACCGCTGAGGTCACCCGTGCAGCTAGAGGAAGTAAAACTGGCATGAACATAAACTTTCGAAGCTCCGCGCGAATTTCTGGATCGGCGCTGGACCCTCCTCCCTGGCGCGCGGAGCGCGTCATGGGCGGCGCCGGAGGCGCCGCCGGGGGGGCCAGCACCGATCCAAGAAATCCGCGCGGAGCTCCGAAAGTTTATCTGACGTGGCTGCAGCCTTTCTTCTTCGAGGGGTCCAAATTCTTCCGTCCGCTCTCACCAGGCGCCGCGTCATCGGCTCGGACAACACTCCAGGCTCTCCCGCGCTGGAGGACACCAATCCGAGGCGTCCCCGCTACCCACAGCGGCCGCCAAGTGCCTCATCTGCGCCTCGACGCCGTCCTCGGGAAGCCCCATGCAGAGATGCCCATGCGAAAAATGAGACTACGCCAGAACCGGGACGATCTTGGTCACCTGAGCTGCAATATGTGTCACATGCGTAGCCGTTTGGGCCCAGAGCGCTCAGCGAGCGAGGCCACTTGCAGGGTTCGAAGTCCTGCAGGGCAAATCCATTGCGAACTTGGAACAGCATTCTCTTCATCATATCGTCTTTGAGACGACTCAGCACGGGGGAGCGGGTCCTGAGGGAAACGGGCCATGGGCCCTGGGACCTTCCCCCAGGACCAGCTCTTCATCCTGAGTCGCTCCCTGACGGTCCCAGAGCCCGTGGAGGGCCCCGAGGGCCTGCAAGCGGCGAAGAGAAACCTCAGGACCCGTTTCTCTCAGGACCCGCTGCCCCCACGGCGAACGACGCCCAGACAGGGACAGAACCGCACTGGGACCAAACGGAGAACTCTGAGGTCCGGCGGCTCTGGAGGATGCATCTCGGGCAGCGCGGCCGCTCCAAAGCGCGCGTCGGAACGCGAGAACGCTCTGCGGTTGGTTCCTGGTCCTAGGCCTGCCTGACAGAGCGCGCTGGACTGGCTTCTTGTCTTTCTCGGCTTCCAGTGTCTTTCTGAGGAGAGGAGGGAAAGCAGATGGGAACGACGGCGACGAACGCTCGAAGTAACTCGAAAGGGAAGCTCCACCCCTGAGTCAGTCCATTCGGGGTAGCCTTTTGCACGAAAGGCAAGCTCCGCTCCAGAGTCGGTCCACTCGGAGTTGCCTCTTTCGGCGTCCAGGTGGTGCCGCTTGCCTTCCTGTGCTTCGCGGCCCGGTGGGGCCGTCAAGGAGCCGCTCGGGATGGAGAGGCTGGGCCCCAGGAAGGGAGTCTAAGACAAGCGCGTTCCTCGACTCGCAAAGTAACTACTCGCAAATGGCCGGGATCCGCCATGGGGGATTCACGTTACGTTACATCGAGGCGAACATGTGTGTGCGTGTTCGGGCGTCTGCGAGTAGGCACTTTGCGAGTAGTGGAACGCGCTCGGTGAGAGCGGAGAGCTCCAGGAGCCAACGACTGGAAAAACATCGAGCCTGGCCCGGGAGGGGGGCTGTGCCAGAAGCCTGGCGGGAAGGAGGGGTACTTACCGACCAAGGAATCTGGAAACCTGCCCAGACATGCTCGCGTCGTGGGAAAAATACGACGGGAAGCTTTTTGCCGCTTTCAGCCTCCAGGGGTCCTCGCCACGCCCCGGGGCCGTCTAAAAACGCCTCGGGAAGAAAAACTGGCTCTTGGGTTCCGCCGGCCTCCGCCGGCGGAGGCTCCGTTCTGCCTCCGCCGCCGTGCGCCAGCCTTCCGCCGCCCCTTGCCGAGGAAGAGGTGCCACCCCCATCGGTTCTCGGAGGCGACGCCCTGTGATTCTGCTCCACGCGCAGCCCCAACGATCCCGACCCCCCAACGACCCTGACCCCTGCCCTTCCCTGGGGCCAGCATGTCGCCCACGATCCATCTGTGATAGCCCCGGGGCCCGGTCACGGGCCCCAGAGGCCCAGATCGAGGAAAGAACACTGGGCTGAAAACATCGGATCGTCGGAGCTCTGGCCTCCCCGAACGCCGCCCCTGAGCGCGGCGGCGGCGTTGCGGCGGGGGCGGCGGCGCCGTGGAGCATCAGTGAAAGCCTCCGAGACGGGGTCCGAACAGATGGGGCCGGAGGATCGCGCCGCATCCCCGATGCATCTCCGATGCATCGCCGATGCATCGGCGATGCATCAGCAACGTCGGCGATTAATCAGCAACGTCGCCACGGGTAAAATCGGACTCCACGTCGAGCCGCACCGCCGATGCATCAGCGATGCGGCGCGACCCTCGGACCCCAGCTGGGAGGCCTAGAGAGTGACCCCGCTGGGCACCTGGTTCCCTGGCATGCGCTAGACGCAAGTGCGGAGCGTGCGGAGGCCACGAGCTGGTGAGTGCACGGCGGAGAGCCACTCTCCCTGGACCCCCGAAGCCACGACTTTTTCATCACGTCGAACACGAGAGGTCTTGACCCGTTCCCAGGTGACCAGCTTGTCATCCTGGGTCATGTTTGACGGTCCCGAGTCCCGGTAAGGGCCCAGAAGCCGAAAATGGCGAAAGACCTCCCGTCCTGATTTTGTTCGTGGCCCGAGGAGGTCTGGGTCGGGGTGGCGAGCGCCGGAGAGGCGGGAAGGCCTCGCGTCGGCGACTCCGAAGGGAGTGGTCTGCAAAAAGCATATGGTTTGCACTCCGCGCCTGGGCGAGGAACTCGACAGAGATCCCTGCCGCGCCCCGACGAGGGCTCATCAAACCCTCTGGCGCAACATGGTGACCCCTAAGACGCAACGGCGCAGATCGTAAACCACACCCTGGCATAACAACGCCGATTTGTGGTCGACGATCGCGTGTGTCCAACTCTCGCCCGAGACGGCCACATCAAGGCTGCCCAGTTCCTCCTGGCAGGACCAGGGGAGGAGGACCCAGACATCCTCCAGAGTCCTGGCAAAAATCACGACAGCAGCGTTTCGAGACCTCACCGGACGCCGGGACCGTCAACAAAACCACCCGGCCTGACAAGCCTGCCCCAAGGAAAGTGTCGGGACTTCCCGGGACCCCGCAGTGGAAAATCAAAATGTCGGACTTCTAAGGAGGATGCACGACGAGAAGGGCTGGAGAGTGGAGGGCGGAACGGGTCCTCCTCTCCTTCCCTGTACTCACCTGCGGCACTGAGGCACTTAAGGCGCTAGAGTCATCCCGACGCCGTTCTCCCCCCAGGGCCAGCCGGCCCTGGGGGGCCCGGCTGTGGGGGGTAGAAGTGGACAGGTAAAAAGCGACTGTACTCACCTCCTCATCCTCTTCCGCCTCAGGATCGGCCCCTGGACCTGTCACGGAACGCGCTCTGGCCAGGACCTCGCGGCGACGAGGCGCCCCAGGGGCAAGCCCAGGGGGGGCCCAACACCTCGGACGTTTTTTTTTTTTTTGTCTCGAGTCGCTGGCTCCCAGGGCTTCGACCCTCCCGCCGAGGGCCGGCTTTCCATCCTGACTCGGCCCCTGACGCCCAGGGCTCGACCTAAACAATGTTTTTCGTTTTGGGGGTTTTCGTTTTCCTTCATTCTGCCTTCGTTTTGCCTTTGCTGCGACGCAGACGCGCGAGTCCGCCGGCCAGCGGGCCGGCAGGCCCCTTTAGGGCGGCGCGGGCGGGCCGGAGCCCGGTCACACGCATGTGAACTTCAAGAAGTCGCTCTCGAGGTCCGCCCAGAATTTGGAAGTTGTAGCACTCTGTAGCCATGTGCCGGGTGTGCTCCCAACCAAAGCCATCTGCACAAATTCTGTGATGTCGTCACTCCACCGGCATCGTGCTGCCCGGGGGTCATGGATATCAGGTTCCCATGCCGCCGCCAGTCGGGCCCAGCTGTGATGTGGTTGTGTAGCAACTCGCCCAGCCCATCTCCATTTACGCTTGTGCAATACTGCAACCCATTCCTTCACATGTGCGCGCGTCGCAAAGTCTGAGGCGGCGTGGGTAGCCCTGCGAATGAAATTGTCCCAGAATTCAAGGTCGGATTCGGCGTCGACGTCGTCAGTCTAGTTGCTGTCTGACGCTGGACTTGCTGTCGTCACTTGTGCTGTCGTCATGCTGTTCAATGTCGGGGTTGGTTGTGTTTCGTCGGTGTTGGCGTGGGGTTGTCTCTGTCGGCGTCTCGAAGTATTGACAATGAATCGTAACATGCGTCGTAGGGTGCGTCGGAGTGTCAAAAACACGTCTTTGGTGAGAGTCTACGTTGCGCAGCCATACATGACCGTTGGCGTCACCGTCCCGCTGAAGAGCCTGAGCCTGCTGCAAAGGGGTACCCGCTGTTCGTAAGCTCGTTGCGGAACTGGTTGAATTTGCGTCACCCCGTTGCAAGTCTGTTGGTGAGCTCGGTCTGGTGGACAGGACAGGACAGGACAGCCCGCGCATTGGCACCAAACTAGGGTGCTGCGGGTGTGGCGCCGGAGCGCCGGCCGTTACGGCAAAGGAAAAAACAGCGGAGGAGGAGGAGGACGACGACGAAGAAAACGAGGCCCGGTCAGAAATTCACATGTGGTGTTGCGTAAACTGTGCTCCAATATCCTGCCAAGAATCATTTGATGCAAGATCAAGAACTGCTGGAATACTCACGTCGCCACATTCCAACGTATCTTCAACATGATTTCTGACGTCATCGATCCATCTGGTTTTTGGTCTTCCCGTCCTGCGTCTGGCATTATATACTGGGTCATGTTGTGGAGTCCATTGAATGACTTGTCGCATCCATTCCAGTTCCTCCGCTGCACTCAACTTCCGTACCCACTGCCATTTCCTCTGCCGTACTGTCGAGACCCAATCGTCGATTCTTAATTTTGCAATTGCTGCTTCAGCCTTGTGTGTGGCCCGCTTGATCCAATCGACCCATGGCTCCAAAACGACATCGTTCGCTTCATCGTCATCATCATGAATATTCGGCGTGGGATCCGGCGGGTTACTGTCGACGTCACATCCGTGGTCGTCCTCTTCGTCGGAGTTCTGGTAGGCGGTGTCGTGCTGGTCGTTGGTCAGATGCTCGAGTGCTTGCTGTGATGCTTGGGAGGAGGAGCTTGCGGAGGTGCGCCGTGGTACTCGTACAATCATGCGAAGCATTTGTCGCTGCGTTCGCTGGAGTCGGTTCGCTAAGTCGGCCGTGAGCGTCCAAGCTTCGCTGCCGTACAAGATAGTCGGTGTGATAGTTCCGTGAAAGAGGCGCAGTCGGTCTGACTGTGAGTACGTTGGTCCAGTAAGTTCTTGCTTCAACATATGAAACTTCCGCCATGCTGTGGAAATGCGGTTTTCGATTTCCGCCGCGTGAGGCGTAGTGTGCTGTAGTAGCCGTCCGAGGTATTTCGTGCCGCGGTACGGTGGCAATACATCAATCTTCATGCCGAGCACATGTACGCTGTCGGGTGTACGTGCTGCGTCGTGACTTGTGCCCGTTGTGCATGATCTTCGTTTTATCAGGATGAAGTTCTAGGCCCGTTTTGCCTGCTTCAGTGATGAGGTCGGTTAGCATATGTGTCAGGTGGTTCAGTGACCCCGTAAGTAAGAGGATGTCATCCGCGAAGCGAAGGTTGGTGAGTCGGTCATTCGTGTGTAATTGGAGCTTGAAGCCGTAATCCTTTGATGCCCATTTTTGTTTGGCTCGTCTCATGATGCTCTCGGACACGCTGTTGAAGAGCAGTGAACTTAGGGGGTCGCCTTGTTTTGTTCCCCGCAGGACGTTGAATTTCCTGCTTGTGCGGTCTGTCTGGACTGATCCCGTCTGGTCCTGGTAGAGCTTTGAAAGCAAGTGGATGTACGGTGCGGGTGTATGCTGCTCTGCAAGCGACTCCCATATGCTGGCGTGCGTGATGCTGTCGAATGCCTTCTTGAAGTCTACTGCGGCCGACCACGTGGGGAGTTGCCATTCGTCCGTGATTTCTTGCAGTATGGACGTCGTGAACAAATGGTCGGTGGTGCCACGGTGGGGTCGGAAGCCAGCTTGGTCGGCGCTTTGGCTGCTCTCGAAGAGCGGACGCAGCCGGTTGTACAGAAGCCGCGAAAAGAGTTTGTACAGCATGGGTATGCTAGCAATTGGTCTGTAATTACTGGGTTGCTGTGGGTCTCCGCCTTTGTGGAGCACTTTGATTACTGTATGCCGCCAACTTGCCGGCGTCGGCAAGCCAGGTAGGAGGATATTGTTGTACATGTCGAGAAGGACAGACTGCAATGCATCCCCTCCAGATTTCAACATCTCGGCTGTTATTCCAGAGGCGTCAGCAGCTCTGTTAGACCGCAGCTGGCGCAACGCTGTTTCCAGTTCGTTCCGTGTGAATGGTGGGATGTCGTCTCGTTGCGCGTCGTGCTCGGGGCGTTCGCCGTTGGCGTTGTCTCTGCGGCTGGTGTCGTTGCACAAGTCTTCGTAAAATGCTGCGAATACGTCGGCTATGGTCTGTCGGACGTGCTGCGTCTCCCCGGCGTTGTCCGCTATGCTCGCGATGAATGCTCGTTTTTTGGTGGATTTTACTCCGCTGACACGCTTCAAGTCCTTGTATTCCGATATGATGCGTTCGATTGTAGCCCTGCGGACTGCCCGTTTGATAGCACGGATTTCTCTGCGGATGTGTTTGTTGAGCCTGCTCCGTGTAGTTGTCTCGTGGGTCGGTGTGTCTCGTCTCTGTTGGAGTAGTTGCGTGAGTGCGTCACTTGTTGGGCGGTTACTGCGGTGACGGCTAATACTCGGAGGTTGTAGCTGCAACAACACATATTTGATTGACTGTTCGATTTGTTCGCATTGTATTTGGAGCCGTGTCTCCGCCAGCAGTACGTCGAGTTGTTCACATAGTGCTTGTTGATACTGCTTCGTGTCGGATGGGGGCCATGTTGGTCGTGGATGGCGTTGCTGTCGTGTGCTGTTCGTCGCCCGATGTTTGTGGGTGGTTCTCACCACGCATGACAAACGCAAGGCGCGATGATCAGATCCCATGTCAACATCGGCGGTCGACTCGCAATCTTGGACCATTCGCCACATCTTTTTGTTAACTAAGAATTAATCGATTTGACTGTCAACTTTCTGAGGCGATGTATACGTGATCAACTTATCCACCTGCTTGCAAAAGAAAGTGCTGGCAAGCCGGAGTCGTTGGTTGGAGGCCCATTGCTTCAACCACTGTCCTCGAACGTTCATTGGGCCTATCCCATGCCGGCCCAAAGTGCACCTTGCATCGTCCGGCGCGCAATGCCCAGCACGTGCATTGCAATCGGCTCCGACGATGGTCATCATGCGTGCTGAATGTGCTTCTTGGCAAATCTGGGATAGCGTATCGTACATGGTTTGAACGTGCTTGTCGCCATAACCGCTGTGAGGAAAGTACGCGCTGACGATTCGCAGTCTGAGTGAACCTCTCTTGATATCCACATACGCTATCCTTTCATTAATGGGATTGAAAGAAACAACATGCCTCACCCATCTTTTGTGCAACATGATGCCGACTCC